TGTGGGACCTCAGCTCTCACACAAATACCATCTCCTACAACTGGTGTATTACCCAGGTATTCTTCTTCCATTTTACTGGAGGAACTGTGGTCTTTTTCCTAGTAGTTATGGCTGTTGACAGATACATAGCGATCTACAGACCACTGCAATATTTGCTTATTATGCATCCAGGAGTGTGTGTTGGTTTGGTGACAGGTGCTTGGTTGGGTGGCTTTGCCCACTCCATTATACAGGTAGCATTAATACTTCAGCTGCCCTTCTGTGGATCCAATATTTTGGACAATTTCTTCTGTGATGTTCCACAGCTCATCAAACTGGCTTGTACAGATACATACATCACAGAGCTACTGATGGTTTCAAACAGTGGATTTCTTCTCACACTAATCTTCTGTGTCTTACTTGTATCATACACTGTCATTTTGATAAAGATCAGAACTCATGTCACGGAAGGAAAGCACAAAGCCCTGTCCACATGTGGTGCACAAATCATTGTTATAAGCTTAAATTTTGTTCCAGGAATGTTCATTTATGACCGTCCCTTCCGGGTATTTCCAGGAGACAAAATAGCCTCTGTTTGCTATACCCTTATCACTCCAATGTTAAATCCAATGATCTTTACTCTGAGAAACAGAGAAATTAAGGATACTATTAGAAAACTAATTAGAAAAATGATCTCATTACCAATAAAAGAATCAAAATAATGGGGTTGATTTGGCTGGTGTTTTTGCTAAATGTTGCTAATTTCTATTTTAATGTCACATTCCCCATGACATATGAGTTTTCTTTTTGTAGTTCCCATGAGTGCCACCACCACCCCAGTCTTTTAATAGCCAAAGATGACTTGGTCTTTTTTCAACCCATTGAAAAACTGAGAAAGAGTGTGCATGTTGCATGGAATCCACACTGATGAGAGAGCTGCTGCTGAACACACCTCCCTTCTTTCAGAACTTTATATGGTCTGGTGATACAAGCCAGCTTTTAATTGTAGGTGGACAGGGCCGGCTTGAGGTTTTTTGGCGCCCAAGCGGGGCTACCTTCTGGCGCCCCTTCCCGCATGCGCCAATTTATTTTTATTTATTTATTTATTTATTTTGAGATTTTTATCCCGCCCTTCCAAGTGGCTCAGGGCAGCTAACAAGTGGCTAATGCCGGATTAAATAGATAAAATACAAGATTAAATAGATAAAATACAATAAAACAATATTACATATCCACAATAAAATTCATAGTATTTAAGGTGCTCTATTATCCTATATTTAAATTACCAAGATGGACAATAATCCCAAATCGACGGCCAGCTTTATTAAATACTGAGGGCTCCAGCAGTTATGTTCTCCCCACTTCCACTAGGTGACACGTACCCCCCCCCCCATTATAGGGGTAGATGATGGAACAGTACCACAGTGGTGGAATAGTGACGGCAGTGGCTCCCACTCAAAAGCCTGGCAGAAGAGCTCCATCTTGCAGGCCAAGTGGGGACAATGCTCTGAGTTCTAGTTTCACTTGTCAGGAATGATATGTAGCTCAATGCAGGTCAATAAAAACTGATGGCATGCATCCTGAACATCCTGAACATGTGTCCTGTTGCTCAAGTTGAAGAGAATATTTTAAGAATACAATTAACAGTCCATCTAGCCCATCACCCTGTTTCCCACAGTGGCCAGCCAGATGGCCCAGGCTACCACAATAATAAACATAGTGGAGAAATTCCTCAATACTCCCAAAAGCACATGGAATTCAGAGGCTTCTACAAATGGACTTACTGTCAGTGCTTCACCTATATCATACATTTTCATAACTGTCAACAAACCAATAATGAAATTATTAAAATTATACCTATATTTTAAAAATACATAGTTAGCATAGAATGATACAAAGGTTATAACTGAGTGGAGTACTGTGTGTATGTGTCTGTGTGCCGAGAAAAAAAAAGTTCACTCACTTAAAGAAGATGTGGTGATGATATTAGTTAACTGGAACACAAAAGCAGAAAACAAAGCAGAATTGAATAATGCTGGAGGATTTGGGCTACTGGCATGAAATGAAGCAGGAGAGTGACTCATAGAACTCTGTGAAGACAACAATTTCTTCATTGCAAGCACATGTTTCAGACAACCAAACAGACAATTGTATACCTGGACATCACTGGACAGCCAATATAGAAATCAAATGGATTACATAATCAGAAGCAGAAGATGGAGGAGCTCTATTTTCTCTACTAAACAATACCAGGAGGTGATTTTTGAACAGAATATGAACTGTTAATATCAAAAATAAGAATAAAGTTCAAGAAAAATTCCAAATCATTCATAATGTCTATATAAAATCAAAACATAATTCCTGAAGAGATTAAAGACCATGTAAAGAACAGATTTGCCTTACTGAATTCAAGTGAATGGGAGCCAGATGAACTATGAGTTGAAACCAGAGATATTTTCCAGGAAGAATGTGCAAAGACTATTCCTGTAGCCAAAAGAAATAAAAAAGCTTCAATGTATGACTGATGACACTTGTAAAACTGCAAAAAATAGACAAGAAGCAAAAGTAAAACATGACAGAAATAGAATCAGAAGTCAAAATGCAGTATTTCAGTAACTTGCACATAGAGGCAGAGAAGGGGCCAGGCTAGCTGCTACTGGGGCTGGGGCCGGGGCCTTTTCGGTGGCGATCCCTACCTGGTGGAACGAGCTCCCGGAGGAGATCAGGGCCCTGTGGGACCTTTTGCAGTTCCGCAGGGCCTGCAAGATGGAGCTCTTCTGCCAGGCATATAATTAGGGGTTGCCACCGCAGTGCACAGCCCACAAAGTCATCATTGAACAGCTGCCATAAGAGTGACGAGCAGAATAACATCTAAGCACTTTTATGCTGGAAGCTGGAAATCCATCTGAAAGCATTCCTTCTGACTGAATTTTAACTGCCACCAGCACTTTGTAATGTATTATTTTTAACTGTTTTAATTTGTATTATTTATGTTTTTATCATGCATTTATGTTATGGAAGCTGCCCTGAGCCTGCTTTGCGGGGAGGGCAGGGTATACATCTGACAATAAATAAAAGAGAACTATAATAATAAGCACTGTAAAGAAATGGAAGAGAACAGAAGAGAGATCAAAGGGAAACTGAAAGCATGGACATGATAATACATTAACTGAAAGAGACAAAATAGGGGAAAGTTGTGAACAATACCCTGAAGAACTATACAAAATAGATAAAAGAATGACATATTGTTCCAAGAAGAAACTTTTGATGAAGTGAGAAAAGAGGAAGACTCAACATGAGATGGATTAACTCAATTAAGGAGGGTATGGCCCTCAGTTTGCCAGACCTGAGCAAGGCTGTTCACAATAGGGCATTTTAGAGGTCATCAATTTATTGAGTCTTCATAAATTGGAAGTGACTTGATGGCACATAACACACACAGAGAGAGCTCTATCTCATTATATATTGGGAGCCAGCCCTGTAGCTAGGGGGGAGGGGGCCTCGGGGGGCCGTCCAGCTAATTAAATGAAAGTACAGTGCGGGTGGTAAGATGGAGCACTTTGGGGGCAGCCCAGGAGAGGGGCCCCAGAAGAAACACTAGGGGGGCGGGCCCCGTGGGCCCCATGTTAGCTACGGGCCAGTTGGGAGCTAAGGAGGGTTGGTACAATAGTATACCACCTCTGAATTTCTTTTGGCTTGAAAACCCCAAGGGGTTGCCATAAATCAGCTGTGAGTTGATGGCAAAAACAAGCAAACAAACCTTTCCACCATTGAGTGCATGCATTCCCAGGCTTTGGGAGCCAACCACTACTACAAGATAGGCCAAAGTAATGACTAGTCAGCTCCCTTAGCATTTTCACCCCCCCCCCTTCGGATTGCATTGTGAGAGATTTTGTCTTACTTTCTGCTTACTCACCTTTTTCTTACTTCATATCTGTCTTTGCTTCATCTCATCTTTGGCTTCAGTGGAATTGTGCCTAAACATAATTTATTTACACTGAGAAAGAATTTATCTGCCCATATTTTTCTGTTGTTGTGGAATAAAGAAGTATATTAAATGGTGTTCTGGACTGAGAGTGTTAGGAGGTTGGGGGTGATGATCGTCACCCTTATATTGATGCAAGCCTGATCCTGCTGGACAGAGCACCACTACTGACTAGCCTTTCCCGTTCTGGATTTGGGACAATGTCAAGCCAATACATCTGGCCAACAAGTCTTGAGGGATGTTCCATTCCTCTTTTATAATAGCAAAGCAGGTGACGCAGAGGTCATGTTCACATAATTAATGATGCTGTAGGTATGGGTTCAATTACGATCTGAACTCTCCCCCTAAACTTGATGGGCCAAGATGCCAAAGCAGATAGCCAGCCCTTCTGTTCTTGGAAGAAGAAAACATTCACCATATGTCACTAAAGAATGCAGTCAATAGTTCAGGCACAACAGCAGCACATTTAATGTACAGATTTTTAAATAACGCAATGACCCTGGGTATTATGCAATGCCAGGAAGCTTTTGTTCATATGCACAATCTGCAGCATAGCCTTTTGAGTAGTTACAAGTGGGAAAGCTGGCTGGATGCATCCCATTGAAATCAGTGCATTGCTTAGTGTCCTGTCTGTAGGTAAGAGCCCAGGGGTCCTGCCTTTCCACAAATTCATGAGCCATGTAGCTGGTAATTTTTTTTCTTCGTATCTTTACATCTCAACATACACAAACAGTATATTCAAATAATAAAAAAGAAACTTCAGTTATACATATACATTTTAATGATGTCCCTTGTGGTCTAATCCCCGTGTCATCACAACCCCTTGATTATGCGGGGATGAGACAGTAGTCTTAGGTGACAAATGGGAACACTATTGTAATGATCCAGATCATAGCATGCTCTTTTTCACAACAGGTCACTGGATTTCCATGGGGGATTAAAGTTGTATTTTTAATCTCCCTGAACATGTGTCCATGGCAAACCCAGCTATGACATGTGGATGCCTTGTGGATTGCTTGATTGTTGAAGTGGCAGGATGTGTGCAAAGGAATACCTAATTTCAGACAATGATCGGAAAATTCATTATGAAACAAGGGTCCAGGTGAGTATCCAGGAATGTGTTCATTGCATTCCTGATTCATATTCAGATTTGCATTTGAGGAAAATTCCTTCTCGGTCTGTCTGTCTGCCATCATCATCATCAGCAGCAGCATCTATCTACACATTGGAAAATCACAGTGAGAATTCTCAGGCAGTGATAGTTGGTTTCGTCAATGGAGGTTATAAGCCCACCGTGACTGGCTTCTCTCAGACACGGATTTTGACCCTGGCACCATACATTGTTACCTCTGGAATTGTCTATCAAAACATTTTCTGTTTAGTTTGGAAGCTTCAATTGATATAGAATACGGAGGCTGAAAACTTGGCCAAGTCAGGTCATAAGTAGTGTATGTCTCCAATTCTAGTTCAGCCATG